TCCATTCTGCTTCTGGCAGCAACTGTTTTCTCCCTCCGGGGGAGTCTTTCCTCTCTTCAATCATGATGGTTTGCATTGCTTTGTCCTTTGTTACTTTCCCTCCTCCTCAAAAAGAAAAGCAGCAAATGCTCAAGGTTTGATCTCAGAAGGACGCACTGGGAGTATGTAGGCGCTGTGATAATTCCGGTTATCCAGATCTTTCAGACAGGTCGCTTTTCCTGCTTGGAAGCTGTGGACTCTGTTCCTCTGGGTTCTCAGTACTCAGTTCAACCACCTTCTCCTCCATCCTTCTCACTGAGCGACCAAGGTCAGGGGCCCATGGAGTGGGCCAGGATGGGAGGGGTTGGAGCAGGTGAACATAGAACATCCAGGCTCTGACTGGTCCCTTTGGCCCCATGAGCAGAGCTCCCTGGACCTCCCTTTCACAGCAGCTCAGCCGAACCCTAGGACTTGCTCAGGGACAATCACTGGGCATGTGCCAGGAAGCAGCAAAGGGGGTTGGTGGCAGCTGCAGTGAGCACAACCCACCTCGGAACCGGGCAGGTAATCCCAGGAAAGCCCTTTGCTTCCCACCAAATGCACAACGCGCTGGACCACGGACTTCTGGGCCAGGCGCCCAGAAACTTGTCAGCTCTCCACTAATTTTCCACGTGGCCTCAGCTGCTCTCCCTGGAAAATTAAAGGTCCCGATTAGATGTTCTCTATAGCTTCTTATCAGTCTGAGGTTCTGAAACCGACAAATCTGTGTGCACTGCTGCCTGCCCCTTTCCTGGACTTACACTTGACTGTGGCAATCTGACTACAAGCTCTTGAGAACCAAACCAAACCTCAGCCCCAGCCTCTGAGGTCCCATATCCCGGGATGGTCCATCCCAGGGGGACCCTGGGGGGCATGGATGCAGGGTGCCTCTGGGGCTGAAGAACTGGGTCCGAATCACAGCTTCTTAGCTACAAGCAGTCAGCCCTGGCCTCAGTTTTTTCACAGAAAAATGCAACAATAATTAATGTGCATCTCTCTGCTTCCTCATTCCTGTCCCCAGGGGCAATTTGAGAAGTAAATGAGATACAAATAGAGCAACAAAAAGAGGGGGCAGAACTGGTGGCAGGAAGAACAATAACTGGTAATAATACTACTGCTAGTAACGAAGGCGAGTCATGCTTCTGAAGAAGGAAAGCGACATTTGTCTTTCAGGGCTCGGGCAGCAGTGCTGACAACAGGCAGACTGACCGACCTTCAGTCTCCAGGGACCCACTCGAGGATATGCCAGCGTGGTCTGGCAGGCCTCCAAGACTTCCAGCTCAGTCCGGGCTGGAAAAGTGTCTGCTGCCTTTCCAGTGAAGTGCTGCCGCCCCTCTTCCCATCCTTTCTCTCTCAGATCCTGGGGGATCTGAAAGAAGAGAGAATCATTTCTCTCGGGGGGGTTGAGTGGAGCTGGGAGTCTTATTTTCCTGTTGACCTTGGTTTCACAGGAAAGGGGAAGGACAGCGTTGGCTCGGAGTAGGAAGAGCTGCGCCATCATCATGCCTGGGTCCCTGGAGGCACAAGTCCTCTTAAGACAGGCCTGGCCACAGCGGCTTCTGGCCTCTTCTCAAAGACCTCCAGTGGCAGCCACTCACAACCTCACAAAGCAGCAAGTTGCTCTCTATTTTTTTTTTTTTTTTTTTTTTGACAGAGTCTCGTTCTATTGCCCAGGCTAGAGTGCAGTGGCGTGATCTCAGCTCACTGCAGCCCCTGCCTCCTGATTCAATCAATTCTCCTGCCTCAGCTTCCTGAGTAGCTGGGATTATAGGCACATGCCACCACGTCTGGCTAATTGTTGTATTTATAGTAGAGACGGGGTTTCGTCATGTTGGCCAGGCTGGTCTCGAACTCCTGTTCCTGCCCACTTTGGCCTCCCATGAGCCGCTGCGTGCAGCCTAAGTTGTTCTTTTGAATCAAAAGTGTCCCACACACAAACACAGGTGAGGGACACCTAATTGTTTGCAGAAGAGCAATGGAGGGGCACACAGAGGGGTGATCACAGAGAACATTCCAGAAAATGCAAGACCCTTTCTCTGAGGCACAGCTGTTTAATAGGCAATCCTCTTCTCAGCACGGACTCATCAAATCTAGGTGGATTCTAGGGTCAACCTCACCCAGGGAGAAGCCAGAACAGAGGTCCCAGCTAAAGTCTGAGTGAGGGGGACCCCTCTCCCCTGCCCTGGGGAGCCTGGGGTCACATTGCAGAACGGGATGGTCCCAGGGCTCTCACTCTGCAGTTTCAGCTGCAGTGAGCCTCTTTCTATGTGTGAGTGCTTCTGTTGGGCTTCTGGGTGTTGGCCAGGTTGGGAGGGTCACCTTCTGTTTGCATCCCAAGAAAATTGGTCTCTGGGAACTTCACTGGGGCATTCCAAGGAGACTTGAGTTGAACCTTAAAGAAGGGGCAGGCCTTGGGGACCAGCACCCCTGAAGTCCGGGCAGAGAGAGCACTGGGCGGGACGTTGAGCGTGTTCTACTCTGCCGATGGTCAGGAACCTGTGGAAGCCAGAGCTGGCCCAGGTCACACCATGATGTGGCATCCTGAGAAACAGACTCTGCAGATTCAAGGCCTGGTGTAAATGTGCCCTGGAGGTGCCACCCAGTCGCAGAAGGCAGTACAGTGTGGCAGAAGGAGCCTGGTTTTAGAGCCCAACTTCCCAGGTTCAAATCCTAGCTCGTCACTGTCATGCGTGTAAGCTCAGGAAGGTGACTTCACTCCTCTGAGTCTCTAGTTCCTCATCTGTGCACTGGGACAATGATGCTGTGTGGTGATGTTAATGTGCACGCAAGTCCAGTTGCACCTGGACACAATACTAGAGCAGTGAGGACCGGCATCTTTTTCCCCTTTCTGAACTGCTAAGATGGACCCCCCCGAGGCAGGAGGGAGATCACAGCTCGCTCTGGCTGGAAATCCATCCTTTACTGCTTAATCAGACACTAATGGGCATATCTATCCTCACTGTTATTTGAGAGATGGTGGTAAGAAGTTGATAAAGAAACCATAGGAGACCAAAATGGAGTGACCCCGAGGAAGTCACTGTCATCTGTGCAACGCAGAGCGGACGAGTCTCCAAAACCCTGGATCATCTGCTGCTCTGACGCTGAAGAGGGAGAGAGGCTTGAATACTGAATGTAACTGACATTTAGGCCAGCGGGTGGAGGCTGAGGGGCCTCCATAGGGAAAACTCCTGCAGCCAGAAGCACCCAGTGCCTGGGATGCTGGAGTCGTCTTCCGTGCTAGAAGACATTCTTTTCTCCTGCCTTCTCCTCCCTTCACTGGAGGAAACACAGAAACTTCTCTCCCAACTGCCATCTCCATGGGCCACTGGAGGCCAGAGAGCTGCCTGCTGCATCTTTACAAGGGCCAGGCCCTCCGAGGGATGTGGGGTCAGAAGGGAAGATTTGAGATTTGAGCGTGTGGGGAGGAGTGACTCCATGAAGACATCAAGCAACCCTGCCTTGGCTCTGGGCTTCTCTCCTTGGGCTTTTGCATGGAGACATCCATCTGTTAAAGACCTTGGTTATGGGGCAGACCTGGGGTTTGATGGAGAGAGACTCGCTGGAAACACCCATGCACACCCTGGCTAGCTGCCCAGACCACCCTCCACCCCGTCGGTGATCCCAGGAGTTCCAGGGAGATGGTCCATGTCCCTTCTCCCTCATTGCCAAGGTCAGTTTCTTTGCACTTGTGACCTCCTCTTAAGCTGAAGCTGGTGGATGATATACGGCGGCAGTGACAGATGTGACCAGTAAGAACTGGCGGCCATGAGCAGGCATTGTGTGGAGCCAGGTTAGTAATCCTATTATCATGGCGGCTTCCAGAGAAGAGTGCCGCTTCTAGACAACTAAGATGTCCCTTTGCCTGTCATCAAGAACACTCAGTTCTCCTGAGGCCATAGTGGCAAGTCCAGCTTTTTTGCAATTGTCCCTAAATATACACAGGGCTTCCTAACCAGCTTTTTAAGTTTCTCTATCACAGAGAGGGTTACTGATGTGATTTTTCTGTTTTTGCAGTGTAGAAAGTGAGGAGAAAACCTCTCTGGGCCTAGGGGTGAGTAAGCCCCTTTCTGGGACCTTTCTGGATCCATCTGCGTGGGTGGGAACGCTGCCTTGGGAAGGTGTGGGGGGTGGGAGTGAGTCCTGTGCAATGGAACTTCCTAAGGAAGAAAGAAAGTGGACCCTTCTCTATGGTTTTTTACTTGGAAGCTTCCTTGTTTGCCAGGCCCCCTAGATGCTGATTTTTAAGAATTTAAGGAAGTGGCTTGGGCAGAAGCACTCACAGCTGGAGGAGAATGCATGGTATCCAAACTGAGCGTAAAAGATGGGTATCTGAGTGGCCTGCCAAGCCTGCACTCACTTTCAAGGTGCCTGGACATTCTCCTGAGGGCAGCTTCTCAGGAACCTCCTCAGGGAAGTGCTTAGTTGGGGCAGAGAGAGCAGTGAGCTGGGAGTGAAGACGCATCTTTCGGTTCTGACTCCTCCACAAACTACCACAGGTGAATTGCCCCCCTTTCTGACCCATCCATTGAATCATTCAGTGGACACAAACCTTGTTCATCTCTAAAATTCCATAATTCCTTGGAGAAGAAAGAGCATCTTCACATGGGTGGCCTGAAGAGTCCACGGCTTGGCAGATCTAGCTTTTAAAGACATCCTCTCCTCTTCTTAAAAAGAAGAAAAAGTCCGACCAGCAGGTAAAAACCACCACTGACACCCCTAGAAACCCCACCCTATTACCAGTAACCCCCCCATTCCTGGGTCTCCCGATGCACTTGGGTCTTGGAAAGGGCTGGGTGTCTCATGATAAAGGTGCCGTTTCAAAGTCAAATCAGGACCATCCAATGGCCCTATCAGATGGCCAGCTCTGAATGTGAAACCAGAATTGGATGGGGAATGCTGAAATTCTGAGGGCTGCTCTTGCCCCAGCACCCCATCAAGCCCTAGATTTGATAAGTTTGCATAAAAACAAGACACACAAGTGATTATTTACCACCAGCAAGCGGTCATCAAACCATGTCTGTGTTTTAAACCTAACTAGCTGCTCCATCTGCTCTCCTGTTCTTGGAATGTAGTTTCAAGAATCCCCAATCTGCCTTCTGAAGGCCTTGCCCCGTCATGCCTCTAGGAGCAGGAGGCCCATACTTCCATGTTTTCTGACTCAGTTTGACCGCAACGTGGGATATTTGAAATCAGGGCTGCCAAGGGGAAATTCCAGAAGGACGGCCGCTGCCCCTGGTCAGAACTCCTGGTTCTAGAACATGGGAGCAGCTAAAAGCCAACAGCAAGACAGAGCCATATGCCAAGCCTCACCCCATGGTGGTGCAGAGTGCGCCATCCTCAGAAGGTGAAGGCGTACACCACGCCTACCACCACGATGTTCCCCAGCGTGGCTATGATGGCAATCCATAGCAAGACGGCGTCGTTGGAGGATCGAGGAGGATCTTCCGGCGGGCCCTGGCCGTTGGAGGCCGCGTGGACATTGGCAGAGGAATTAAACAGGGAATACTCAGTGCTGAAGTCCTCATTGGGTGAGTCCATGAAAGCTCCTCCCATCATGGGCAGCTGTGAAGAAGAAGGAGAGAGAGAATTATCCAGGGCCGCGGGGGCTTGGGCAGATGTACCTTCCGCAAGGAAAGTGGCCTGGTTAGACGGCCCCACATGAAGGGACCACTTCTACTGACCTGCAAAACAGGGCTTTGCTTTTGCGATTTTCTAATGGATGGTGCATATGGTAATCGATAAAAATTAGTGTGCACAGCATCCTTTTGAGGCAGACATTCTCATGCCCACGCTACTGTGAAGGCATCAAGGGACTCACCCAACAGCTAGCTGGTGACTCACCAGCACTCACCAGCCATTCCCCTCCCCCCATGCCAGGCTCCTCCAGCCATTCCCCTCCCCCCATGCCAGGCTCCTCCAGCCATTCCCCTCCCCCCATGCCAGGCTCCTCCANCCTCCAGCCATTCCCCTCCCCCCATGCCAGGCTCCTCCAGCCATTCCCCTCCCCCCATGCCAGGCTCCTCCATGACAATATGAGTTGTAAAGTTGTAAAATGCCTTCATTCCTTGTGTGTGTGTGTGTGTGTGTGTGTGTGTGTGTGTGTGTGTATTTTATTTTTAGTAGAGAAGGGGCTTCACTATATTGGCCAGGCTGGTCTCAAACTCCTGACCTCAGGTGATCCACCCTCCTCGGCCTCCCAAAGTGCTGGGAGTACAGGCGTGAGCCACCACACCCAGCCTCTCTTCTAATTTTAAAAATAGTATATGCTTAGCATAGAACACTAAGAAAATATAAAACAGGATAAAACATGAGAATCATGATCCCACTACATAATCATTGCTAACATTTTGATGGTTTTTCTTTGCAACCTTTTTTCTTCTGTGTGTGTGTGTGTGTGTGTGTGTGTGTGTGTGTGTGTGTGTGGTGTGTGTGTGTGAGAGAGAGAGAGAGAACACATTTAAATTTGTTTTTTAATCCCTCTATTAAAATGGCCATCAAAATTCCATTTTAACAGTTGTGTATTATTCTATCACGAACATAAACCAAAATTTAACCATTCTTCTTGAGTTGGAGATTTAGCAATTTCCACTTTTCCTATGAAAAATCATACACTGATGAACATCCTTGTACATCCATTAGCATGTACATGCGTCCTTGTACACACATTGTTATTTACAACAGAAGGGCTCCCAGACTAAGGTAAAGCTGCCAACATTTCTGAGTCAATGAGTATGAACAGTGGATAGGATCAAATATCCCAGAAGAGTGACCCTAATTCCCACTGCCCACACTGCACATCACTGCACACGGGATGCCAGAATGTTTGCATCCATGGATCAGAACTTCCTTTTTCTGTTTCTAAAGGTTCTCTGCTGTGCAGACTTCAGGTGGGAGGTGGGGTGCTCCAAGGGAGGGGGTGATCCTGGACACAGCAGTGAAAAGGAGGCCCTTCCCTGCCCCAGCCCAGGAGGCCCATGTCCAGGCTTCCCAGCCTCCCCCAGGCCGTCTCCACAGGCAGAATGTGCATGTGCATTCCCAGGCTGGCACGGACACCTATTTGACCCATAATCGATGTTTCTTTTGAAGGGAACCTGAGTGAATGAACACGACACAGTGATGCCTGCATTGGGTGCATGAGACAGTAGTCTCTGTGGAGCTCCTGCTATGGTCAGGGGTTGTGCTAGAGATTGTAAAATACTTTCAATCACTCAACTATCCTGGCGGAGGCTACTACTGTAACCCCATTTTATAGATGGATAAGCAGAGGTCAAGGCCATAGCATTAATGTGTGGTGGTGTCAGGGTTGAGAGCCAGGGGTGTCTGACTGTGAGCCCAGGCACTCCCTGCTCTGCATGCAGCCCCATGGGCTCCAGGGTCAGGCTCCTGGAACATGGGAGGCACACAGGTGCCTGGGCAGCTGCTGTTCAGAAGCTCCCTGGCCCACCTTGAGTCTCACAAGGCTCTTCTTAAAGGATGACCATTACCAGGCATCAGGTGGTCCCTGAGCATCTGCTTTCAATGGGCTTCTGCCAGAAGGCACTCGGCACCTGTATTCCTAACATGGTGCTGTCCCTGAGGGACGGGACAGGGCAGTCGTTGACCTTGGGAGTGCAGTGACTGGGAGGGACTGCCGTGGGGTTCAGAGCAGGCCAAGTGCAGTTTCATCGGGGGGCTGCAGGTTACCATGCTGGGTTTATCCCTCGAGGGGTACATTTTTATATAAGTACTTCTTATATGTATAACATACTCCATTAATATATTTAAATTAAATATAACGACCAATGCAAACAAGAATATAACAACAGTTTTTTATGCTAAAAATATAATTTTAAGTGGAAATAAAAGAATTGCAGGTGGATGGGGTGCAGGAGAATCAGGCACATACCAGCTAATGGACAGCTTCCCGTTGCCTAGGCGACATCATCAGTGCCCTTGCCCGGCCTGTCCACAACAGACCACTCCCAGACCAAGGTAAAGCTGCCTGGTGGCCTCTTAGAAAGCAGGCTTAGGGTGGGAAGTAGTGCTTCCTTCCTCTTGGGCATGGTGAGGCTGCCGGGGCTTGTACTGCTCCCACATTCCCCGGTAGCCCCTGGCAGACTCCCCAGAATTAACCCGTGTTCCCGTCCCTTCCCACTCATTGCATGTCGCTCCTTCCTTGCCAGGACCATGCCGCTGGGTGCTCAGATAGACGCCTCCCTGGACTCCGCTCGTGGGATCTGACCCACTCTCCCACCCTGTGGAGCTCTCTGGGCATACGTCCTGTCTGTCTCCTCTCTTTAGGGCACATGTGAATGTGATGAGCATTTTCATCCAAATCACTGGGGAAAGAGGAAGAGAATCTGGACAGAGCCTTTTGTGGGGCCCACATGGGCCCTCCCGCCAACCAGGTCAGGGCAGTGCCCTCCAGCCTCTGCACCCCTCATTTCTCTGACTCCCTTCAGATATTTATTTAATGCCTCAGTTTCCTCCTTCTGCTGTGACTAATTGCCACAAGACAAGCACAGTGGCTGAAAGCAACACCAACTTATCATACGGTTTCAGAGATCTCACTAGACTAAAATTGAGGTGTTGGCAGAGCTGCACTTCTGGAGGCTCTAGGGGACAATCTGTTTTCTCGCCCTTCCCAGTTTCTAGAGGCCACCCACATTCCTGGGCTCATGACTTCTTCCTCCATCTTCAAAACCAACAGTGTGGCACCTTCCAATCTCTCTCTCATCTTCCAGCCTCGCTTTTAGAAGGGCACTTGTGATGACACTGGGCTCCCCTGGCTAATCCAGGCCACTCCACCCATCTCAAAATCCTTAATCACACCTGCAAAGTCCCTTTGGCCACGAATGGCAACCCATCCACAAGTTCTAGGAGTTAGGATGTGGACCTCTTGGAGAGGACATCATTCTGCTGACCATACCCCAGACTTCTGTTCCAGAAAGGAGGGAGGATGGTGTGCGTAACTGGATGTCCACCTCCCACTGGACAGAGAACTCTTGAAGGCAAGGATATGGCCTACTCATCACAAACTCCCTCAGCCCCATTCTTAACAAACAAATAAAAGCCACAGTAAAAGCATGTGTAATTAATGAATTTGAAATCAGCAGGAGGGTTTCCCACAGGTGGTACTTCATACACCCCAATCGTGGAACTCCCAGCTGTGGGACAGGCCTCATGGGGAGTCCCCTTTGCTGCACCTGTTGTCGGAGCTCAGAACTGCTAGAGAGAATGGTCAGTGTTGGGCGGATTCTGCTGTTTCGGAGCGTGGGAAATGAGGGTGGGTTCTGGTGTCAGAAAGCTCGGAGGTAAATCCTCTTTTGCCACATATGGTGACTCTTGGGTGAGTTACTTACCCACTTGCCTCAATTTCCCTTCTGTAAGTAATAAAGCCAGTGCAGTCCAACCAGTGAGACTGCTTCAAGCAGTGAATAAGATCATATATAATAAAGCATGGCCCAAGACAGTTACACAACAGTTACCAATATTCCTTCCCTCTGTTGTCCTTGTAGGAGAGTATTATATTCATCTCTTACCCAGCTGCTTAAGCCAAAGTGAGGAAATCAGGAACACAGCATTCCTGGTCATGTGCTTTTTGTGTGATAGATAACCAGATACTCATGTTCAGTTGTCAGCAGATGGCTGCCCGTGTCCCCCGTGTATGCTGAGACAGGTGGCTGAGAGGCGCTCCAAAGCTGGTCAGCCCTGTTGCTCCATCCGTCTATCTCAGGTTTCTTGGTTTTATTAACAAAATAAATTGATACTTTTTTTTCCTTTGTAAAATAGGTTCTAAATTGAAAGTGCTAAGTTAGACACAAAAATAACTTAAAACAGCAGGGTTCCATGACTTGAAAAAAAAAGTCAGTTCCAATTCCATCATTTGAAAGTTTCAAAAATTTGATCAGGAGCTGGCCTCTGGTCAGAATGAGGGGTACTGGCTGAGGTCATCTTGGAAGCAGGTGTCGAGAGAATGTCACTCTCAAAGCCCGCCCAACCAACTCCGGTCTATTTTAGCCACTTTTAAAGATGCCCATCTGGTGCAGCACACCACTGCTGGACACCAGCAACTCAGCTTCTTATACCAGCGGGCAGGGGTGGCCACCAGCCTTCAAGAGAACGGCATTCTTGGATGAGGTTTTGACTCAGAGCAGATTTGGGGCTGTGACCCTTAACCTTAAACCCTAGAAAAGCTACTGTGCAGAAGAGCGAGTGGCTTAAGGGGACAGAACAAGAAAACAGTCTCCTCTCGCTGAGTTAGACACCAGCAAGCAGGACAATACAGGATGACCTGGGGGGTGATGGGGGGCTTCTTTCCTTATCAGAGGAGATATTCACATCAAGATTTTTTTTAAAAAGCTGGCTGGGCACGGTGGCTCATGCCTGTAATCCCAGTGCTTTGGGAGGCCATGGTGGGAGGGTTGTTTGAGGCTACGACCTCAAGATCAATCTGGGTAACATAGTGAGACTCCATCTCTACAAAAAATTAAAAAAAAAAAACCTATCTGGATGTGGGGGTGCACACTTGTGGTCCCAGTTACTAGGGAGGCTGACGTGGGAGGATGGCCTGAACCCAGGAA